GTTACTTGTCAGGATGAGTCTCGATCACGAAAGACTGAAAATGTAAGTACACACAAGGTGGGGGTGCGTCCTAAATGTGATCAACATCCTCATGGAAAACTTGTGTTGGCTCCTTTCAAGAGGGTACCAAGCGTGTTACTATGCTGACGACTTATCACTGATAAAGGCAGAAACCAGATCAGCAAGGTCGAGCTTTTAGGCTGTCAGTGAAGAATGTGGAGTCTCGGACTCAAGATGTCATCCAAAATTGAAAGGCTGAGGGATTGGTACAATGAGCCGGTGACAAATGTAAATACAGTATTTACTACAGTGGGTCTGTGTAAAAATACCTGGGCATCTTGGATTGACAAAAGGCCTCAAATTTGTGAGACGATGTTCATCTGAGGCAGATGGCAGAGTCATCATGAGTGAGGCCATGACAGGACAGAGGTGGGGTGAAGGACATGTGTCCTGGTGTGCTATATAAATTGATCATTAAGAATATGACCTGGCTCTTACATGTCTACATTTGATTGGGGCAGTGGGAGATTGGAAGTTGCCTTATATCGCTATGGAGAGTCACTGTCAAGGCACCTATGTGGACAAAAATTTGCACCACTTGGCAGGTTCACATCTCTCTTTCGAAACTGGGAGGAACGATTAGCATGTTTTTGCTTAAGAGCTGATTACCAGGGCTCTGGGAGGTGAAGTAAAAGATTGAATTTTATGAGCAATGAACCTTACAGTTGTCTTTTAAGAAAAAGATGGTTTATTGAGGCGCATCTGACGCTGTAAGTGTTTGAATTGAAAGGAATCTTCAGCAAGGACTTTATATAATGAGTCCCGTTCACTTTTAGACGTGGGAGTCCCAGCTGAGTCTTCAGCATTCTACAAACTGGGACAGAGAGGCTGGCTGTAACCCGCTGGCTCCTGACAGGTAGCAGGAAGCGTGGAGGCTCAGCCTCACAATGGTAGTGTGTTTACAGGCGGTTCTGTAGAGAGCCATCAGTACGAAGGCAGGAGCAGCCTTCATCATAGAAGGAAAAGAGGTAACAGATGGATGCTCTACTTTGCAAGTTGAGCTAGCTGCCATACTTGGAGCCCTAAGACACGCTTCCATAAACAGTCAACAAGGCATTGTAATACACTGACTCTGCGATGTTATTGAAGCGCTGGAATGCAGAGAGCGTAGACAAATATTCATCTCATAACATCCGTTGTTGGACTATCAAAATGTTTAAAACTACAAGATCGGCAGTTATCAATCAAGCCCAATCATATCGGAATCCCAGGGTAAACAGCTGATGCTAAGGCTGGCAGATAGCGAAACATTGAGATGAACATCCGCCCAGTCAGTGCAGATAAAGAATAACACTAATCGCCCTGTGGAAAATAGACAAACATAGAAGATTAACACCTCACCCCTGACGGAGACACGATGATCCTCCGATACTGGCTAGATATTTATGTAAAAACATTGATTAGTTTTAGAGAAAATCCATCCTTCCTTCCTTCCTTCCATATGGCTTTAGTAAGCCCTTTATAATATTTCATACTGTATATATTTTCACGACTGCCAGATGCTTCTGGTGTTATTGTTGGTGGGTACCTAGTGACAGCACTAGGAGCAGTCATCAAGGAATAAATAATTGAAATTGAAGATGGAAATCCAGTATCACGATCGGGCAGGTGGTACTACCTACGATTTACTGTGAGAGACCGTTCATTCCTGAAGGATAAAAATGGTAAGAAATCAACTTCAATTGTCGAGACTAGGATACCCATGCATTTGGGAAATCATTGTACAAGTACCAGCAGAGCAGCGCATGTGCAAGACCTGCAACAGCGGGGTGAAAACAGTACTGCAGTACTGCCTCCATAGTGCGCCCTGGAACAATTGTTTAGGGAAACATAACTCTGTCACAGCAGAAAAGGTTGCCAAAATGCTAACCATCAAGCCACTCAAGAAACCCTGCGTTTCTTTCGAGCATCCACTCACGCTAGTGGTGGATGCCGTTAACTAAAGATTGGTCTTTATCCTAGCAGGTGGGTGGTTGGACACGAAAGCATTTTAGCTTAGGGTCCACGTAGGTACTATTCCCACAAATCTATAATAAAAAATCGATCAGCCATCGCCAATAATTAAAATAAAACTTGGCATCGCGGAGATCTCAGCCACATAAACAAATCTGCCATGGAGAGACTGAGAACTACAATGAACGCTTGTTTCGGCCACGGTTACTCTCTAGACGAAATTCAAGAAGCCATTACCTACCACCAAAACAAGGAAAATCACCGTCCACTAAACTACAGACCGATCTTTTCCTCGAAGTACCTGGAAAAATCCTAGGAAAAATTATTAACCTGTCGGTGGAGAAATCCTTACAACCAACAGTCAACTGTAGCAATTCTGGATTCAGGAAAGGGAAGTCCACCGCAGGATAGCCCTAGCATGAAAACAGCCAGAGCGAGGGTAGTCAATGTAATCTAACCTCCGGGATGTAACGAAGGCATTTGAGAAAGTCTGGCGACGGTTAAAACAAGATCCTCCAACACGGGGACTCCTGCCAACATCGAAAACTGCTTTGCAACTTTCTTGGAGCTGAAGAAGTGCCAGACTGGGGTAGGAATAACAATGTGAGAGACCTTCCCACTGCGTGAGAGTAGTCCTCAGGCAGCGTCGTCTCTACCACCCTATATGTATATCTACACGTGACACCGCCTCCCACTAGAAAGGTAACGAAGATATTATGTGTGTACAGGACATCACCAGATAACACAGCTAGGAAAATCGCGAGTGTTACAGGTCGACAACACCAGGCGGAATTAGAACGGGTAAATAATTTAAAAACAATGGAAACCCAAACCAGATCTCCCGAAATTCAGTGATTCTTATGCAGAACGAAAACCTATCCATTAGTACCAATAATGACCAGAGAATACAAAAGTAGAGGCACCTCCTGGCCTGCATATCCACAACAGGAAGGAAAGGCAAGAGAAGGTAGGAGAAACTGTACTGTTTTAAAGTAATACCCAAGAAAATAAAAACCTGCCTGGGACATTTATTATACCGATATTAACATAAACAGCAGTACCATACTGAGAGCAACGTACTTCATTAAATGAAGCCTTAAGATTCGTCACAGGTGAAAGATCCCTTCACCAGAAACTGTAGATACATATGGACCTGAGATCACCATGAACCAGCAGCTTTATATCCTGGTCAGAGCAAGAACTCCTTCAAAGACTGCCCAGATATGTAAACTATACAAGGTCTCAAAAGCTACCAAAATTCAAAAGGTCCATTACCACCTCGATCTATACGGCCAGGCAATAGACACCCTCCCTAGACCAGCACCGCCAGTAGGGTCGGCGGAATATGAAACGAGGCCCCAAACACCTCATATATGGAATAAGGTAAGCTGTCTGGTGCCTGTGTCGACAGACAATAGCTAGCCCATGACAACCCCTAACACACCATTAGCTTAGCTAGGTAGCCTGCCCTCTCCTGCCTCCCCTAAATTTCTTCAATACTGAACTTTAACTTCCTTTCCCCACTTAATCTTCTTCACCCCACCTTCTGGGGGGAGAGAGAAGGGAAAAAAAAAAAAAAAAAAGGATGTAAACCAGAGGAGAGGTCACCCCATTCATCAGTTAACACCCAGGTGCCAGCCCAGAGACCAGGGATGGGAACAGCTCCTGGTGAATCTAGTTATCAGAAGACATGTTGAAACGAAAGTTCATGGCTGGAAGCCTTCCCAACACCCAAATAGTGTTGGGTGGGAAAAGCTGGCATGGCAGTTGCAAATCCCTGAAATCAAACTACAAATCATTTGGCAGTATGAAATATTACAGCGACTCAAGAGAACATGGACCACTTTCCACTGACTTCAGCGAGACTAATATCTTAAATACTTACGCTGTAATGAGATTATGCACAGACGTAGATAACTGCTAACATTTGGGAATAGTCGTTCTGACATACAAGGGTCTTATGCAGGTCCTCTAACTGGTAAATTTCAGTCTCATACTTGTGTGTGCCTCTTTAATGTGCCGATGATAAAGTACTTACTCGAAGTAACTGTGGTGTTCGTAGGTGGCGTGATGATAGCCGTATTCTTTGTCATGGCTGTATTGTTGTGGCTTCTGGGAGCGCAGAGCCCGGTAGCTCCCTTGTCGACTACGGCAGCGAACTCGGCACAAAGTCAGACTCTATACTGCAAGACCTTCTACCACGCTGAAAAATACAGTACATTATAAACAATGATAACAGGACATTATCGTTCGTTGGTAGTAATTAAGAGCCTTCTAGAGCTTTTTACAATCACTGTGCCTCCCAGGCCTCATAAACTGAAGAAAAAAGATCAGCTCCAAGATTTCACCGTACACGAGGAGATTTATGATACTAATTCAAGAGACCCAGTGCAACCTCAGTGACAGTGTATTTGACAGTATTTCCATTCCCTTAATTTAATATAATTATATAAAAGATACCTTGAACTATCGGTAGAAGGAGTATGAACCTCCGTGACGCGAGTGTTCAGGCCAACCAACTGTGAAACACCCCAGGCGCCTGTCTTCTGGTAGAAGAGGTGAGGGAGGGTAGACAACCCAGCCCCACGTGGGCACGAGTTCGCTTCCACCACCTGGTCCAGGTGCAGCAGCGCTACATCGTACCACGGAGTCGATAGAAGCGAATCCAAAGTCATCACATAAATAATGTCCTTTCACTTGTGGACGTCAACAAAACAATCAAAAAGGATTGATATTTATTTGCAAGTGTAAAGCAACCACTGCATTCTCAATTCTTGTTTTAAATCATTTATTACAACACTTTTAAGCTCTTACGATTTTTTCCAACCTACAATTGCCTTACTGAGGGTGGTGGCTGAGCACCACAACTGTCTGTGGCTCAAATGTTCAAGAGCAGTCTTTTTATAGCCGGCTGCTGCCACGCCTACAGCAAGCGACGCTACATGTTAACTCCTGGGACGCTAAAACAAATCTTTACAGAGGCTTACCGGGATGTATGATGACGTCAGCCACCGACACCAACATTGTGTCCAGGATCTTGGCGTCTTCGGTCAGTTCCACTTGCCAAAATGACACCTGCTTGATGTCGAGTTGAATTTGGGGAAATGATTGTACAATTGCTTTGGGTTAAATGATAATTATATCAAATATTTATGCGACTTTCATATTAAATCTCGACACAGGGATGCTATTAGTTCCCATGTTCCTGTACAGGTGTTTATTACTCCGTCAGCTTCACAAACTGGTGCTTTATTTGTTAGTATGTTCAAAGATAATTAATTTTTATTGCTATTAAATTTTCCATCGTCCAACAGCCACAATCACCCACCTAATACACGTTGTAATAATAATGGTTGCCCTCGTAACGAGGATGGTCGGAAGGGCCACGTGCGTGAATTTGTTTGGTGTAGAAGCTGCCGCCAACAACAACCAGTTTCAAAGAATAGTCCGAAGACCGGACAACTCGCCAACCGCTACCTAACCATTACCCTGAACACAATCTGCAGATCTATTAACATCCAGATTCCCAATTACTGCTGGAAACAGAAATGGCGTAAAGAAACTTGCCTATAGTTTCACCCTGCGGGGATCGAACCGGGTTCGCTCTCGCTTGCGAGGAGAACATGCGACCATTACCACAGGTCACCAGCTTAAACCACACACAAGCATCCATCTCTCCCACCTTCCACCACTCGGTTAACAGCCACACCACAACCATCCACCTCCCAACAGTTAAACACGAAAATTTAAACCCGCTTATGTTTATTTATTAGTTTTGGGGAATAAAATTAAGTCTAGGGGTTTGTAAACTGCATTACTAAGTTAGTGTAGGGGAGTACTTACAGCAAGGTCTCTATTGCCAGTGTAGCTGACGCAGTGGGCGGACGTGAGGACAAACTGGTGGTGTATGAGGGCCCGGAACACACGAACACCATCACCACACCTTCCCGATAGTTGTTCGGCTGCACCACCGCCACCTGCCACAACATGGTTAGTTTATGCCACCAGCCTCGCTATATGGATTAATCAACGTCAAAGTAACATCACAGAGAGAACTACATCATCAATCACAGGGCCAGAAAGATTATAGCGGTTCATTGATACACGCATAAGGGTGTCGGGATGAGTTTAGTCTCGTCCTACCTGAAACAGACCTGTTAAATTCAAAGTTGATCTGCCAACAGCAGCAGAGGTCAGGAGGCGTGAGGTAAGCGCAAAGGGTTAATCCTAACTGAATTTGTATTAGTTACACAACTTCGTCATTAACAAGCACGATACCAACATCGACTTAAGGTCGGTTAATGATTTCTAGTCATCCAATTTATCGTCATTACCAATAACTTTAGCAGTTACGTTAATGGGGTAAAGGTCATCTTTAGGACCGTTTTTCTGAACTAAGGTATGGGGAAAAGACAGATAGACTATATGCTGTACAATATACCAGGCACTAGTTGGGAGGAGACAATCCGGTTCTGATCATCAACTTGCCATATTACTTTCACCATATTTCCTCAGTGTTTAGTGCCGCATTATCTGTTTACTACTCAGGCAGATCTAAGCGTTGCTGATACCGAGAACATCTGTTTTAACATTTATAAAAGTTCCTCAGGTTGTTGGGCCAAGATTCCTGGAGTGACCTGGGAAGGGGGGGGCGGGGTTAGAGGCAGGTGCCTTACTTTAATAAGTGTAGACTTAGCAAGGCTTCCTGTAGCTATGGCTGGATTTCGTGGTGTAGCCCAGTGTTGATCTGTTATCGAATCTGTCACCTTTACGCTCATAGATCCACACTAATGATGGTCACTTCAAGGTTGTCCTAACCAAGCGACGACCACCACGTCATGCATATACGTTTCTCACCAAAAGCAGCAAGAGCAGACTAAGTATAATCGCCTCAAGGGAGACGCAGTGTGTAAACACATGCCTGTATGCTTTGCTATACTAGTGAGCTATACTTAATCTCACCAGGCGACTCTCTGATCCAAGGCAGCTACTGTACCTAGTAGGCCGAGGCAACAAGAGGCCCACAACCAAAGACAACCACCGGAGTTGATCCTCGTCATTACAGGGCAGAACAATTCTTCCTGACATCTCTGCTGTTTGGGTCAATCCCAGGTGTTGGCCCTTCCACACAGCCGCACGCATTGGTTAATCAGGTGGTGTATGTATCCGGCGCCTTTGTACGTCAACAAATAGTGGAGGAAAGCCCACACAGATTTCTTGGTCCTATTTGGGATGAGTGATAAAATAATAATGGGCAAAGTTGAGGGTAGGAGGGGCCAGGAGAGACTGCGAAGGTTGCATTAATTATATAGTCCGAGAAAAATCACGGAGGATTGATATAAAGAAGTGGGTACCTGGTCCTCAGTCAACACGGGTTGTGGGATCTTCGGATACTGTACAACCACAATGAATATGGTCTAGATACCAGTTGCTTTGAAGCTGATTAACAATCTAGTTTTAGATTTAGTAAAGCTATAACTAAAGTGGAGACGATTGTTTACACCTTTCTCAAACAAGGAATGCCAGCGCTGGCAGCAAGGATCTTCAGCCTTCCAGCCTGTGTATTGGCGTGGTTAGAGTTGCAGGATGAAGCCTTTAGGCGTTGGTTTCGCTCTGGTAAATAAGAATCCAGCGAGACCCGAGAGGATAGTCAAACACTGTTCCTGCTAAACAGTGTTCAATAACCAATTAGGAACTGGTCGAGCTAACATGCCAAGGAACTCCCCGTACTGGGCCCTCGTAGTACTCTGTCAGGCTGTATCCTGACCTGGCAGCACTCCACGCTCCACCCGCTGTGCCTCTAGTTTCCTTTCTGTTGGCTACATTTGTCGATCGGCTGGAAAACGTGGTAGGTCAAAAATATTGTTTAAAAGGCACAATCAACGCTGATCGTACAGAATAAATCTGTTGGGATTATTATCGCGTGAATGACATCACATGTAGTAATTACTTACATGGGTAGTTCAGAGACAGTGAGACATTCCTATCTGAGCAGTCCTCGGCGGGAAGGAGGTACCAGTGAATAAGAATTGATGTTTGTCTTGTATTTACAGCTACGATCATCAACTTGCTTTGTTTATCTGGTTGACCTTGTGCCCAGTACGACTCGTTTGTAATAGGTGAGAATCTTGCCTGTAAACACCCACGAAGAAGGTAAAGGGTTACGTTGTTGACTAGCACATTATATACAAGGCTGCTTATTTGTTAATACAACAAGATTTCAAATTTTCACAAATCTTTGTTCAGGTTACCATTTTGATGAAACTGGTCATCCTCGTGTCGTAGTCTATGCAATGACGAATTTCCTGTCTTCCATGAAGCTCCTCCGTCATCATATAGCGGAAGATGAAGTCATGCACCTCCGGCTCGAGATGACCGCCCGACGCTCCCAGACATTTTTGTTGGAGGTAGAAGTGGGAAGAGTCTATCCTCACCGGCTGAAGTGGGGTGCAAGTCTCCCACTCTGTGAAGTGCTGTAACAGTACCAGGTTAGGTGGTTTAAAACAAATTGATAGTGGTTTTGTTACATCTTTGACATTCAGTATTATGTAGTTTGATGAGCGAGTCACTGCGAGATCACTGAACGCCTTCCCGGGAAGTGGTCACGGATCCCGTGGTTTGCTGCACTAGCAATGCGTTTACATTTATAACTAAAATTTTGTGGATTTATCTATAGGTGTTAATATAACGGACCCATCAGCGGTACATACCAGTTGGTGTAATAACAAGGGTCGAGGCCAGTATCGCTTCCTAATATTTACCACCATAGTTTAGTAAGCAGGCCTCCAGGCGCATTTTCGCAGCACCGTTTCTATGTACAGTATGTCTGGCGTCAGTCTTTTAGTCAGCATCACAGTTGATCCAGGAGCAGTGTATGGGTTTCCAGGAGAACTGGCGAGTTGCTCCAGAATTTATTCTACTCGTTAATACTGCTCTCTTCCTGCCATATTATGTCCAGCTCAGTACCGGCAGCTTTGGGAATATTAACAAGACTTTCATACAAATGTCCTCGTCATCTCAAACGTTTAGCGTATTTATAACTGAAGAAAATCAATGCAAATCACATTTTGGTTCTTACAGGTTAATAATGCATTACGCAACGGCTGGAGGTGAACCGTCACTTCACCAGTAAAAATATAATTTGGGTAATCAACTGTTCAACTCTTGAATATGTCAAATGTTTACCAATTCACCCATGTTCATACTTGAGCCAGAGATGAGTAAAAAGTAGACCGATTTCAACTTGCGGCTAGATGGACCTTTAATCGTTTTCTGAAGTTGGAGTATGTCCCTCACAAGTACCCAACTAAATTTAACACCATACAGTTTAATCTGATAATAGCCAGAATTTTTATGAACGAAACTAGTAATCATCTAATGAAGCATGGAGGCGAAGGTCAGAGAGAGACTCGGGTCAAACAAGTCTACTGATTGTTATCACGAGACTACCACCAGCGTCCTGCGTCGGCAAGGCTACCCACCTGCGCTCTACGCCATCACAGGTCGAGCCTCCACAAGGGAGACAAGTGAAGGTCAATGGGAAGTCGTATACACCCGTGTAAAAAGCTTTTTGGACAATTTCGTGCCGATGGTAAAAAACGGTCACTTTCTGCCGCAAGCGAGTTACGGGTCTGATTCCTGCCGGTGGAAAAGTTGTTGGACATACTTCCTAGCCTCTCATATTGGTCCCTGTTCACCTAGCAGTAATGTAGGTACAGTTCAGTAAATTTGAAAGTTGCAATCTGTATTCAGGAAAAAGTTAGAGCTTGGTCAACTTTGACAAACCATCTACTCTTCAGGTTTCTACGCCCTTACTCATAGACAAAGGCAGCATGAACTAACAGGCTTCCTCTGGACGCCAAACGCTTCTGCCTTCACCTACACAGGATGTAGCCAAAAAAAAAGTTAATTTGGAGGTGCATGGCTGGTAAGGAGAGCCTGGCCTGAGAACAGACCGCAAGAGCCAGTGACCTGCCAGAAAATAACACCAACCTTCGGGGAGGAGAGAGAAATATTTATCTAAACTGGGGAGAATCTTACCTCTTTATCACACTGGAACCAACGGGTATTTGTAGCTGCCCTTCAGTTTCATCCAACACTAACTGTGTAGCACCGTGTATGCCAGAAGTGAGCCAGGTCAGTACAGAAAAGCACGTCAATCTCTACAGTAGCTTATGTTATGCCATAACTTAGCAACTTCAATTACTTTGAAGGTGATTATATATAAGGAGGGCACATCTGCCACAAAAAAAAAATAATTACACCCGCACATCTTCGTCCTAATATTTAGCTCTTAAAAATTCATGTTACTACAATACACGACAAACAAAGTTAAATGCAAAAGTTAAACAAACAAGAACGAAATTGTGGTCACGGATTCAATTACAGCCTCTTACTTTATCACAGCTGTCAGATAATAATACAACCACGAAATATTTAAATATCAAGCAAAAGGCCATAATAAGTGTTACATAATGAATGAATAAATTAAAGAATAAACATAATCCGTAATAAATAACGAAATGCAGGATATAAACCATAAAACCACTTTACAACACCACAATTGATTGCACTTTACACACAAATAATAGAGCAGCACTGAATATACAATACTCAAACCATATTCGAGAAGGTAACCACCACTGAAACCCAAACATCCCCACACTTCCAATGCCCACCAGTGACTCGTGAACCCCGTACCCCGGGGACTACAAGTCTTATGAAAGCACTCATAAAATCACTCGCATTAATCTAAAAAAGAGTTAAACATAGGACAATTTTCAGCATCAAGTACCAGCCCTCTGTTTATACAATTATGCAAAATATTTTACAAACATAAGTTGAGGTAATGAGCACAAATATTTCACTATACACAACAACGCACCACTGTGCATTATGCCATGCAGAACACTGACTTTAAATTTTTACGGATATTAAGTTAAGGAATATTCTGAATCGCTTAAATAGGTTACTAATTCATAAACCGTAGAATTAAATTTTCTACAATTTATATTTGTAGGAATTATAGTACATAAAATAAACTATAGAGTAACTCCTCCCAGCACCACTAGTCCACTACACATCATTTAGAGACAAAGCGAATACGACAAACCTGACCATAACATACAACCCCCAAAACAACAAAACCCTAACCCTGCTATAATCCCTTAACCCACTACCCAGCAGCATGTGTAGTGAAATACAGACGCCTACCATCTTCCACAGCCTAGTGAACAATAATATTGGTATGGAACGCCTTAACTCCCCCATATTTAAAAGCTCTCTATTCTTAAGTTTTAATTGGCGTTTTTTATTGATCTAGAACGCACAAAATCTATAATGATAACTACACACTTTACCTACACCACACACTACCAACTCAAGTCTGATTATTCACAAAATTTACACAAATTTCACCGCCAATTTATTCTGAATGTAGTAATCGTAGGGGGGAGAAGCAGAACACTCTCTTTTCCACTTGGTTCTCGAACACTCCTGAGCATTAAATTACATCTTATTTCACGCCATACAACTTAAAAGACCAACACTAATGAAAGACCCAACTGTCTGTTTACTGTAGTGCGACAGTCAGTGTTATCACCCATATTATTGGTCAGGTCTGCCCAACCTGCCGTGTTTTACTTAAACCAGTTTTGAAGGAACCGACACCAAAATAAACACCTGTCAGGAGAGGTTAGCCAGAAAGGTAATGTAAGGGCCCAGTTCAATAATCTGTTAACAGAAGCTATTTCAGTCTCTGATGGTCAAATGGTGGGTTGACTCACCTCGTGAGGAGTTTAGAAGAGGGGTGGAGGTGTACCATAGCGCCGTGTGTCCAGGAGTTGATTAAATCCAGTATAACAGCTGTACCGAAGTGTTTGAGGGTTAGTACTGTGCTATAGTGTGTGTGATTTCTTAAACAAGGTTAATACTTTGTATAAAAAAGTGAGGTTAGGGGGTTACTATGAAAATTTGGAAACCTGGCAGGAATCGCCGAGAATATGGGAACCCAGGACGCACCTTTGTTGTAACAATGTAATGAGGAACTACGAGGAGGCATTTACATGTAAATTTGAGGTCATATATATGCAGAAAGTTAATTGATGAATTGGTCTTTCAATATGGAAGAAGGGTTGGTAATAGGAGAAAAGCATACTAGTGAACAGTGTCAATGGATACGTTAAAATTAGAATTAGAATTTAAGAAAATGCAATTAGAGGTAGAAAGAGAAAGGAGAGGATACAGGCTGATGAAGTAAAACTTAGGAAATAAGAAGGAGGAGAGGAGAGACAGGTACAAGGAGAGAAATGGAGATAGAGAATACAGTGTGTCTACTGGAGCTTGGAAGAAGCCGAGGATTCTTTGTTCAGTTGAAAAAAACTATTTAAAAGAATGGACAAAAGTGACTGGGCAATATTGGTGCAGAATAAATTGAAGGGCACCAGAGAGGCATATGGTGTCTGAGGATTATGAGACTGTTAAAGAAGCAGTGTTGAAGACGGTGGAAATGGATCCAGAAGTGTACAGAAGGTTAGGACATTAAGAAAGGGAGTGGACAAACTCATCTTTAAGTAGCTAGAGAACGTGGGATGAGATTTGATAGATGGTGTATCTGTTTGTCATAGATACCCCCAAAATGTTCGACACTACTGATGGTACAGGCAAACACTAGTTATCTTGAAAATAGGTTCTTATTCGTACGGGAGACAAATACAGAGAAACAAGTAGACTGGCTTCCACGCCATAAGGACTAGCGATCTCATCTATCATTCCACTGGCATGCACAGATGCCAGAGTTCACAAGCCGAATACATATGTAAATATGATAATACTTAACATGGCATAATAAATGGAAACATTTCATAGTATTAATTCATGTTCTGTAATACTTTTTCATACATAATTAATAGAGTAATATGAGAATACACTGCTGGTATTGCGTGTCCATATTATACACCCCTCCCCTATACGCCTAAGGTTTCATCTTGGAGCGGACTTTTGCCGGAGTCGCTCGACCTGCAGAGTACGGGAGCAGAACACAAGGTGGAGACTCTACTGGGAAGGGTCAACACTAGGTAGTTCCACTAGGTCGGAGGAAACGACGGTTCCTCCACCATACTCTACCACCATAGAAGACGCACTTGGAGTCCCTGGACCGGCCAATACCCATGACGGGTCTAGGACAACTGGTCGTCTGGCCGCAGCCCAACTGGCTGCGGAACTTGCCGCGGCCGACTGGCCGCCATATGGAACTTTTTTTGTTGACAACCCAACTCTAACCAAACCAACCTAACCAAACTGGGCTGCGCCAGATGGCGGCGCCGTTGTCCCATTCCCACCCATGACAACCCCAACCTTGTCGCAGCGGTGAGATAACGGATCTTGAATCCTGACCTGCTGGGCCGATACTATCCTGGGAAGGGGCAGGCGACAGTCATACCGAGCAGCGACATTTGTGGCATTCTGCCGGCCAGCGGTCAGCATCTTTAGTCTTTGGCTTGCCATTCTTGAGAAAGAGACTTCGGGTGGTAGGAACACAAGACCTGAGATGATGTCCATATAGAACCTGGGATGGGGAGCGTCCGGTAGTTCGGGGTGTTATGAACTAACAAACCTCGATCGAAGTACTCGAAGTCGATATTTTCTGAGGGTGATACCTGTGATCAGGCGTTTAAAAGTTTGATTGCAGCGTGTCCATTGCCTGGGGTAGGGTGAGGACACGATGGACTCTCAACGTCCATGATGTCCAGGAACTCGTGGCTGGTGAACTCAGGGTCCTCCATTGTCTGGAGACGGAGGGGAACAACTTCTGTGAAGTAGTCTGAACCGGATGGTAGTAGCCACCGGTTGTATCACCACAGGGGAGCGACGACAACAGGCCATCCAGACAATCGGTCGGCAATGACGAGGAAGGACTTACTTGCCACTGCAAAGAAGTCTGCCGACACAGACTCGAAGGGTTATCGTCGCACATTAAAGGCGTCTTGCTGTTGTTGCTGTAGTGAATCGGCACGGCTCACAGGCACGGACGGTACTTTCAATGTCCCTGTCGATTCCAAATAATATAGTCTGCTTGCCCGTCGTTGGTGGCCTGCACTCGATGATCTGTGAAGGCGGGTCAAGGTACGGCGGCGAGGGGCAGCAGGAATGACTACTCGGGGACCATACAAAGACGAGGTCTCCGTCACAATAGAGGT